TCAACCTGGTGTCCACCAGGACCCCCTGGTCCTTTTCTGCCAAGCTACTTTCCAGCTGGTGGTCTCCAGTGTATACTGGGGCATGGGGTTGTTCTTTCCCAGGTGCAGGACTTTGCACTTCCCTTTGTTGAACTTCAGGAGATTTCTGTCTGCCCATTTCTCCAGCCTGTCAAGGTCCCTTTTATGTACCCTTTGACATCACCTTGGAGCCCATGAGAACTGAAAATGTTGGTACTTCTACTGTCTTATGTGTATGTCCATCTATAGTGTGTGTGGAGCCAAAATGTTGGCTCATGTAGAATCAAGGTCTGACATTGGGCTGTCAAAACAGCAGCCACCGCTACAGAGCAGGAGCAGTAGTGGAAGGTACTGCAGCACGCTGTCTGAGGGGCTCTAATTGCTGTGTTTGACTCTGGGAATACTGCCATTGCTGTCATCAGCTTTATTGATAGAACATGGCTATGATCAGCGTGACTGAATCAGCCCTCAGAGGAAATATGAAAATGCATATGTTATACCGGCTGGCCTGGAGGGGATGCAATACATTTTCTGGAAGTTAGCAACCTGAGTGACAGTCTGAGCACTGCTGGATATTTCTGTCTATTCAGGGAGTTCCCTTTTACCTCCTTGCCTGTCCCCTGGACTGATGCTTAAGCAGAAGCAATCAAGTGCCACAAATGTGCCACAACTAATCTACAACAAAAGCAAATCATCATTTTCAAAGTCAAAAAAGACGCCATTGACCGAAGCATAGAAATTAATATTGGATGATGTGTAAAAAGCTATGTGTATAATGGCTGTGTGTTGCCCGTGTCATCAAGAGTCAACTACTGCTCATTATTCGTTTGCATGAAGATTAAATCTGCTTGTCCAGTTGTATTACATGAGTGCAAGTGCACACAGAGCACAAATAACCACAAGTTATAACCACCAAAAATTTCTTTATTTCGTGTATCTGTTCTTCTGAATAAAGTCAGGAAGGAAGGAGAAATTATAAGAAGAGAAAGTACACCAAGTTCTTCAGTGTGCCATTTGTCTAAGGAAATGAAAATTGGCACAATTGTTTTTTTAACTAGAAAAAAGAAGAAATAGTGGTGATAGCTCTCATTAGCCATTGTTACCCTAGAAAGATCATGTAACTCTTCTTTTCTTCCTAGGTGTTTCTTGTTTGTTTCTACAATGGAGTTCTCCATCATGACTTTTCCATTTTCTCCTTATTTTTCATTACAATCATTAAGAAAAACTGAACTCAATCCAATCTCTTTCTGTACACAGTGCTTTAAAGCAAAGGGCGAGAATCCTTTTAGCACAAAGCACATTAATCCCAGTTCTCATTGGAAAACCAGGTGAGAAGGAATATTCTTCAGCATGTTCCATCACAAAGAGATCATAGAAGTGTCTTGGTAAAATCACTGACTGTTGATTTCCCTCTTCTCTTCCGTTACATGCTCTGAAGCTGGGGGACACATATCTTCCATTGCTGTCCTTCATAGAACCAATGTATCTGTCATCTTTTTGGCATCTCTTTGCTGCTTGATCGCTGCTACAACTCTGCACATCCCAGTGACTCAGCCTGTCGCTGAGTCCAGTGTCTGTTATTTCTTCATCTTCTCTGTGCTGTTTTTGACAGTACATAGGGGTGCTATGAAGCAGCTGTTTGCTGCTATGAAAAAGACTAAGATGGTTATTTGAAGTTGCCATTATTTTATCCGGGGTCTTCTGTCCAGAGATATACAAGCACACACAGGCAGTTCAGCACATGCCAGATGTGACTGACTGTGAATGCAATGAGCCTCTGTCCCGTGCAGATCCAACTGGCCCAGTGTCCCCAAGAAATGCTAGGCTGACTCACTATGTGCCATGGGATTTGTCTGTGCGTGAACAAGAGCTGCTTCTTCCAGATGCCTGCAGTGAGGCTCTTAATCTCGAATATTACCTCACTCTCTAAATCAGATGTTTCTCCTTTAAATCACTGGGTAAAGATCTGTATTATGTTATGTTATGAAAATAAGATATATGAAAATACATTCAGTATGACTGGAAACTTGTTTCCATGTGGCTATTAGAACTAATGATGTAAAGCATCTGGAACTAAAAAAGAAGGAAGACGTTTGCTTTAGAGTATAAATTACTTACTAGAGTTTGGAATTAGACATTCCCAGAAGTCAGATCTATTTGTTGCATTTGTTTCTGAGAAGTGGCTGATCCTGGAGGAGATTCTGGACTAGAGAAATTCAGAGTTTGATTTTATCCTCCTCTTGACTAGGTACTCACCATGTAAGAGATTTGGTGTGACAGCTCATAAACCAAGATGACCATTTCCCAAAGAACTGCTTTGATGTGGGTGTTGTATAGGATTCCTGCATTTGCGCTGAAGGAGAAGTCAGAGGCACGTTTTACGGCTCCTGATATTCTAAGTGGAGGGGTTACACATCAAAATGGAAGTGGAAATGAATGACATCATTACACTTGATCTTGCTTTGGTGATCATGATCTGTTCTCTCATACTTCTTTTGGACAAGAAACACGAGGCACACGTTTATCCTTCTGAAAAGAAGGTTATAATGAGCAGAGAAGATGTAGTATAGGAGACAGCGGCATCGTGGCCTGATAAGGTAGAATACATGGTTTGAGGTGTTTCATGCTCTGCCACGGTCCCACCAGGTCATTTTCAGGCAGTCATGTACACGTTTCACTTCTGTTTCTGTACTAAATGGAAATGAGAAGAGCAGAGGAAGAAGTTAGTGTGGACAGGGGGAGCACTCCTAGTATTTACTTTCCTTTTCAACTAAGAAAAATCTTTGAAAGGAGCTTTGGGGTCAAATGAGTCTTCTTTCCCTAGTTTTGACACTCCCCTGTCTTTCACCCAACTTCAAGCTATTTGTGTTTTCTGTTGATTTCTCATCTAGAGGAAAATCAGGAAAAAGAAGAGTGGTTTTCCTTTTACATGCATAAATAATTACTTGATTCAAATACACCTTTCTCTCTCAGGTACTTATGTAGCCCCAATTATATGTTCTAAGTGTCTCACAGTATTGCTTTTGTTTGTGGTCTGCACACCTCAGCTGGAAAGATATGGCAAGGGAAAGGAAAAGTCAGAACGAATAAAACGAGGGTTTCATATGAGCACTATCCTGGAAGTGGGATTCAGCATCTGACTAAGCACCAAAGCTTCCCACTCAATGTGTTGAGAGTCAGATGTTTGCTACAGAGACTCAAAATCAGCAACCATTCTGTACGGAGAGCTTCAGCACTGGCCTAAGGGAGGGGACAAATACAAGGGCTTTCAAGGATATAACTCGGATCCAACCACCTGAATCCCACTCAGACCTGATCTCAGATTAAGGGGGTAAAAGATGCCCCAAGACACATTCAGTTTGGGATGCTGAATGATAATAAACAGAACAGCAAGGAAAGAAGTCTGATCACCTGTTTAGCCTTCAGGGGAAAATTGCACAAAAATTTGCACAGAAAATGGCAGTCTATACCTGATTCTCCAGCAAGAAAGAGAGGGAAGTGTGTGAATTTGTCTGTAAACTAGTGACAGAAATGGAAACTGAGGTCCTTAACCTTTAGCACAAGTTTCTGTAGTTGACCCAAATGTCACCAGTCATTTTTTTTGTGTTTTTTTGTCACTCCAAGAAGAAACAGTCAAAAAGTGCAATATGAAATTCAGTGATCTGTATGGATGTGGTGTAATCTGTAGCATCCAGGTGAACTGTTCCTTGTTGCTTTCCATGTGGGCTTTCCTGCTCTGTAGGAAAAGCACCTTTTCAAAAGTCTTTCTACCTTTTTCAATGGCTGTTGTCAACAGCACTTTTAAAAACATTTAATCTGATGCTTTTATCTGACATTTCTCTTATTTTCCTGATGGCTGGGTGCTGAACTAGCACTGAATGACCATGGCAAAGGCCCAGGAAGAAACTGGGTAAAGGGCAGCAACAACATCATGAAGAGTTCATTAGGAAGTTGTCTGTATGTGTCCTTTGGGGATCTTTCTGAATTTCCTGTTTTATTTTAATTCTCTTGTTTCTAAGACACAGTTCAAAATAAGCATGGAAAAAACCTGTTGCTTGGTATTGGATGTGCTTTTGATGGGTGGAGGAAGGTAGTTTGTACAGCAAAACTGCATAGTTTTCTCTCCGAGTTCCCTGGGATGAAGAGGAGTTCTTGCCAGAAATGGAACTCACCTCTTCGCCTCCAGTATTACTACATGCAGTTCCCAGAGCTCCTCCGGGTGACATTGCAATTGGACATGAAATCTCTCTGCTTCAGTAAAGTAATTCATGATTTTCACTTACATTCTGGGAGAACTGGCAATTGGAAAAAGATCAGAAGCGGTTTCTTTTCACAGAGGATGGGTGAACACATCTTAATATAGATGTACGCATTTATGAAATCTGTTCCAAGACATTCTTGTGTGGCCTCCCCAGCCTGTCTGCCCCAGGCTGGAGATGTGGTTATCTTGCTCCTTTTTCAGGTCCTTTGCAGAAGTTTTACCAATAATGTTGTTGCATGGGAAGACTCTAGAAAATCAGTATCTCTGGGAATGTTTCATCTAGTTTACAGTGGGATAAATGGCAGGGGACTAGGGCAATAAGTTTACCATACACATACCATTCTCCTAGATGGAGAACTAAAGACCTAAACTTCTCTGTCCATTACTGAATACATCACTTAACTGCCTTTTAAAAGACTATACTAACAAGCTTTCTCTTACAACGTTCTTCTCATACCTTTGCTGTATTCTGAACCCGTATGCTGTAAGAAAACTTTATCAATAAGTATCTTTAGATATTTATTGTCTCTAGATGTGCTTATGTCCTTTATTTCTCCTCTTCCCTCCTCAGCAGGCAGTTCTACTCCTCACAGAGGTGGGATAAGTTGATCTGCCTTGTGAATAATCTGTTCTGTAACCTTTTCTTAAATCTGTAAAATTGCCAGGCTGTTTAAAGTCCAACATGGAGTGCTCATCTCTCTTTTATTTTGGTCTATACCAGGAAATGCCTACAGAGAATGCCTGGGCAATGGAACATGGGCTTCCAAGATAAACTACTCTCAGTGCGAGCCTATTCTGGATGACAAGGTCTGTATTTTTCCCTTCATTCTTCTCAATGACATTTCTCTGCATACATGAATGCAAAGCTAAGCTTAAGGTTAACAAACTAATTTGGGACTTCTGAGACGGATTCCATTTCTGTCTCTACAATAAATCCTCCCTGTGAATTCAGGCAAATCACTTATCCTTTCTGCATATCCCCTACTCATATGGTTTTTAAAAAAGAGTGCTTTATTACACTCTGTCCCTGATGATGTATGTTTATGCAGATCCTTCCTAGCTTTGTTCAGAGCCTACAGCTGCTACAGTAAATGTTAGTAATAATAACAATAAGACCAAAAGCTTCTTTGGCACTGAAAAATAAGCTTTCACCAGCTGATTCCACCGTGTACCTATCAGTTCTGAGGTCTCATCAACAACTCGCCTTTCCAGATCTCAATATCATTTTTCCTTCAGCAAATACGTAACTGGGCAGCAACAGAAAAATACGTAAAAAGCAGACTCAAGGCCCAGCTGTCTTTAATAGATTGAGCCGGTCGTATATTATGTAGGAGTTTACAGAATGAAATTAGTCTATAGGGTTAAGCTCCTTCAGAAAGGCTGCAAGCAATTATGCAAAGTCCTTTTCTTGTCAAAGTCTCAGCTTTTCTTGGAGGCATCATAGACATTCATCCTCACATAGTTTAAACCTTCAAGCCTTTCATGCCATGTTCTCTTTCTCTTCCTCCTGTTTTGAGTGCTATGGTGGGACACAAGCCTTTGTGCTGTCTCTCTGCCAGGGGTGACTTTTCCCTCTAAGAACCAGGGTGAGGCCCAGCAGCTCAGGTCTGTTTACGTTTTGGGGTTCACTCCACTCATTCTGTCATTGGAGTTGTGCCATGCCAGTTGCGAATGAAGAGGAGGAGGATGAGGTCTCACCTGCTGAGGGCTGCTTGCAGACCTAATCTGGATTTAGTACTTGGCAACTATCTGGACTAGTACTATACCCAAAACAGTCGTGATATGCTTTGGCTGTGGCCCAGCATCCATCCTGTAAGATCCATGTTGTTGCCGAGTGGGAGCTTTGACAAGTGAATCAGAAAGCAGATAACTACGCGCCAGCTGCCGAGGAGTGCCTGCTGTTGCCCACTGGCTAGGTAATTTGGTAGTAACCCACCCCCCCACACCTCCATTTGCTAGAGGCTTCTAGAAAGTAAGAAAAAATGTATCAGTACGTGAGTGCCTTCCAGAGGGACTGATACATGTTCAAGGTGGTCTAGCACAGTGGAGGGGCTCCCATGGCAATATAAGCTGATTAAGTTGGCACCACCCCAGTAACCCCAGTCTGAGTTGTGTACCAGCTCAGGAAAATGCTGCTGTATTTTAATGACGCTCTTTATGAGTTTGTCTGCATGGCTTGAACAATTGCTCTCTCTGCACAAGCAAATACAGAGGAGTTTTATTTGAAGAGGCTGGAGAAGTGTTGTGACTAGAGGACAGGATTATTTCCTTTACTCTGTTTTTGCTTTTAAAAACTTTGCAGCTATGGTGATAGCTTAAAACTTCTTAAATAGCATGTTCCTTAAACAGATGAAAATGCAGATGTTCCCCCACCCTTGTTTGCAAAAGCTTAAAAACTCATTTATTAGATCTTTAAAGATTTGCTACAAGCTTTGCAAATATTAATATTTGTGAATATTTTTGAAATCTCTACATAATGCTCAGTGTTACAGATGAATAGTTGGGTTGCTTTGTGATCTAAAAAAAAAAAAAAAAAGAAAAATCCCCACAGATTTCCATAATCCTCCATTTTGATTAAAGGTGAGATGCAAGCACACATGTGGGTCTATTGTTATTTATTGACTGATCCTAGCAGATTCTAAGCATCAGCCAGGAGGTATGCCCTGCGTTTCGTGCTTATTTTTAATACAGAAAACAACACTGCATTCAAGCTTGGCCACTCACAGCCAGAGTGCTAAAGAATTACATGGTTTGACTTCAAATGCAGTGATTGATACATGGGGCAGGAACAGGACTTTTCAAGATCAACCCCATGTCCGGTGCTATATGTTTTATGACAATGTTGGTAATGTAGCAAGGGAAATTGTAGGGTTTTTCAGCTGTGGGTCAGTCTTAGGGGACACAAGCTCCTGTAATACACATTCACTGGATTGTATTAATACATCATTGCTTTACTTGTGGTCAAGAGCTGATAAAACTGCTCTGAGACTGCTTTGCTCTTAGATTCCCGCTTTGGCTGGGATCTAGTTGCCCGCATGTAGTTACTCAGCGCAGTTTAAAATGCCCCGGTGTGTCTCCATGCGTCTGACAGGTGTGACACGGGCTTTCTGGAGTACCTGTGTCCTTCAGCAGCGGCAATGGGAGGTCAGTCACCAGGACCAACTAGGAAGCACAGAGTCTCCTGAGTGCACCTCAAGGGGCACTAGATGCCTGTGTGTTTCTAGACCTTGCTTCAGATACTGGTTCAGATGTTGGGTAGATATACCCAGGTGTAGATGTCCTAACGTCAGACTGAATCCCATCCTCTGAACAATCAGCTGCTTCTCCAGGCACAGGAATCAGGTACAGAAGTCATTTTGATCCAACTGACTGTTTGATGGTGTAATATGTGACAAATGGAAAGCTTCTATTCAGCCTACAACCTCCTGTGTCAAAGGGACCTTTGCTGGATCTGGCACAAATCTGTGCTCTTGTCAGAAGACAAATGAGAGTCTCAGGCAGCAAAAAATACATCTTAGCCTCCAAAAAGAGCTATAAATTAGGAACTTTGGTCTCGTCTATGTGGCCTATGACAGCTGGATATGAATTTGATTCTGCTAATGTTTTGAGGTGGCTTCAAGCTGTGTAGCTGAGTTAGCACCACACTGAAGTTAAGTTAATGTATCCTGCTTAGGAGCACGGTCACATTAAGCCTCAGCTACCCAGCTTCCAGCTGGCTCAGAACAGGAAAGCAGTGAACCCAGAGGCGTCTTGGATGACAAAGATACTTTGCGGTTGCTTCTGAAAGTCTTTGGAGAGGAGATACGGTGTCTTTAAACTGCACTGGTGGTGAGATCATCCTGACAACAGGAAGAAATCTAAAGCAACTGAACTGGGAATGGAGTGCAGAGCCTCGCGGGAAGACATGTGCTGTAAACACTGTCAGGACTTCTCAGGAAGTTCTGTTAGAGGGAGAAGGATCTTTGCCATCTGGAGAGCTGAGAGTACTGTCATTAGGTGGTTACTAGTTCAAATCATTAGCTGATTTGGTTTGGACAGGTTAGCAGTCACGTCCTAGCTAAAGCAAAGGAAAAAGTCCTCTAGACAGAATGATTCTGTCATTAGCCTGAAGTTTGGCTGCAGGGAGCCCAGAGTGCCTTCGATTTGCAAAGCTGGTGCAAGTAAAGACGTGAGGCTGTGCTTCCTCAGTTTACCTGGTAGAAGCTGGCTGGAAGATAACTCTGATGTAACATGATTGTGCATAATGCACGGCACGGAAGAAGACTCCAGTGATGTGACTTGCTGTGGTCTGGAGAGCAAGGCTAACAGACCGATTTTCTTTCCTCTCTCCTCCCAAGCCTGAATAGGATTTAAATCTTCATTTTAATGAAGTGCAACATCTTCCTGTAAGCAGAGGAATATTGGGCAGCAGTAGAAAGTTGTTACAGTTTTAAATGTATCAGTCCCCAAGAGGGTGAGACAGAAAAGAGTTACGCAAGTATTTTACATGAACTGAGCTTTGGCCAACACATGACTGATTCTGGGCACGTGTTTTTCAGCCCTGAAGGTGTTGTCGCCAATTCTACCAGAGATGCAGATTGCATGTAGGCTGGTGGAAAGTGATCTTGCCACCCTGTCATCTTAGTTTTTCATAGGCACTGAGGCAGTTCTTGTTTCTATGATATTTGAACTTGCCTTCAGGAATCACTGACACTTGTTAATGTCAGCAACAGAAAAAATAAGTCATGCCTGGTTTTCTTCCAGCATCTCTGTGTTAGAGAGGAGCTTAATTGTATTTTTTTCCAAATAACTTTCTTGTATTTTGAATTATACCTTCTTAGAATTTGAGTGAAGTTGAAACAGTGGTTAGGAGCCAAAGGAGGGAGCTGAAAGGTCAGATTCAAAGAGCAGGATCCTTGGCCTGGGAGAAACATTGTGATCTTCTGGAAGATTTCTAGCACTACATGAGCAATTCTGGATGATGCTCTTAGTCATATGGTTTAGTTTTAGGTAGTCCTGTGAGAGGCAGGGAGTTGGACTCGATGATCCTTATGGGTCCCTTCCAACTTGAGATACTCTGTGATTCTGTGAATAAAGCAGGAAAGTAAATAAGCAAGGCAGTTTGCCAAGGCGCTAGCTGAAGAGTACGACATTGCATTTCAGGTCGGCACATCGAGTCAAGTGTGTTTTCTTCCCCTTTAGGTGTCTCTGTGACTTAAGAATAAATAACACTTAGTGTGGAATTCAGATCTTGTAGATTTGGTTTGGTTTTTGCTTTTTTTTTTTTTTCTTTTCTCCTCAAGGCTATTCAGTAAATGGGCATGTGCATGGGGAAGTTTATTTTGGGGGATTTTATAATTGACTTAAAAATACCTTACATGGTTGAGTTCTGTCCCGAAACAGCACATTATTCCGTGTGCTGAAGATATAGGCAGGTTTCATCATGAAAATGATTCCAAGAGTGCTTGCTCGGTGTCTGGCAAAGTGATGGAAGATGCTATCTTCACAAAACAATGGAACAGATTAACTACAGCTGCTGGTTGTAGTTTCATCCAAACATTCATTCACTGACAAATTCCTTTGACCGGAATAAAATGTTAAGGAAAATTATTAGGAAAAAATGAAACAAAGAAAGTTCAACCAAAATTAGAAAACTGATGCCATTTGAAGGATTTTTACTTTTATATTTTTATCATAAGGGTAGAAATTTAGGTGGTTGGTTTTCAAAGGTCTCGTTCTTCTGGAGGAGGAAAACATCCCAAAGTGGGGAAAGATCTGCTTTACCTGAAAAGAAACAAATGCCAAAACAAACAAATAAATAAATATGTATCTTTTTTCCAGCAGGATTTATTCTTTCAGTAGCAGAGCTCTGACAGTTTTTAACCAGCTTCAGTATTTATCTGAATAGTGTTTTTCTACTTCTTCCTAGCCATCAGGCAAAGAGAGGAGATGCTTCTCTTTTCTCGGAAGCCAGCAGCAGCCCACCAATAAAGAATGTTCCAATTACTTCAAGGTCAAATTTTGGTCACATCACTAAATTCACTGATTTAGGTGGGAGCACTTTTGTACTTAATTTTTTGTTTACAGGATCAAGAACCTACCAATAATCTCCCCAGCATCCTAGGAAATAGACACATACATTAAATTTCACCACATACTTGGGCTGCTGCTAAAAAAAAACAAGATCTCTGGTTTGTCAAGCTCTCTCAACACTGAAAGGACACCACCAGATTCCAGCTCTTTCAGTCTCATTGGTTCTATTCTGAATTTGAAAGATAAGGATCGTATCTTGCAAAGAATGTGCCTCGGAGAAAAATCTGCCTGTATTGAAAGGGCTTATTATTTATTCTTACTGACAACTGATTCATTTTTGGATGAAAAACAAACCATTTGAGTAGGGATTTAGCATAACCTAGCTCATTAAGACCATGCAGTTTCCTAACAAAATAATGTTTTATAACTTTTGAAACTGTGAAAAGATGTGTCTTTGGTAGCTTTGTCAACCTAAACCAACAAATTTTTAAAATAGCATAATAATGAAAATAAGAAATCCTGAGGAAATTGCAGAAAAAAAAGGGGGGGAAATAACATTTTTCTGAGATTTGTAAGAAACTGTGGACAAATCCCAAACTGAAATGAAACCAAGCCTGTACTTCTGTGCCTGGGCAGCATGTTTGGCTTATACATAGGCATCAGCCCTGGGGCTATTATATCATTTTAAAGTCAAGAAAAGTAATTACTGTTTCCTAAACTGATTAACTGTTCCTTAATGTCAGTGCTTAGAGAGTCATGCTGATTTAATCATGTTATCTCTTTACCTCCAGAGGAAGTATGCGCTCCATTACAAGATTGCTCTCATCATAAACTACCTGGGGCACTGTATATCAGTAGGGGCCCTTATAGTTGCCTTTATGCTTTTCTTGTGCTTGAGGTGAGTAATCTGTTTGCATGCTTCTAACTTGGTTGGGTGTGTGTCACTTACCGGGTTATTCAAGCCCTCTAATAATACTGCCCAGGTCACGTATGGTCTTGAAAAATGGTCATGGCTTTTACACTCTCAAGCATGTACGTGGTTTCATTGAGTGATGCATTGGATGAGCTGTAATGGTGGCCTCCATGCGTAGGACCTGAAGTCTATTTGTATGCAGGAAGGGAACTGTATATGATTTACTGATGCAGCAAAAAAATCAGTAAGCACAGAGTGCTTCATTAAGGGAAGCTGGGATTTGAGTGTGTCCACTTGCAAGTTTTAGGGGCAAGTTTTCTTTTTTTATAAGGCATTTTGTATTCCCTGACAGATAATGCCCACATCTAGACCAAAGGAGACAGAATGAAATCTTTCCATTTTGCTTTGGGTTAATTTCAATTTTTCTTCCATTAAAGAACTTAGAAGTTTTCTTAAGGGAAACATCTTTAGAGGAGCTTTATCCGCACCAGTGTTCAGGAAATGATGAATGCAAATCAATGGAACTTAATAGAAACACTTCCCTTCCCCAGTTTGGTGGTACAGAAGGGAGTTTGACAGGTCAAGCGGACATATCAGTGAAAGAAAGTCTGTGAAGAAGAGTTGGAGCTACAGGGAGAAGAGTAAGGGCAGGAGGGAAGGGAACGTGGTGGAAAGTAATAGGTAAATGTGCATCAGTCATCATATGTGTTGTATGTACACAGCCTGAGTCACAGGAATATATTTTAATAGGAGTGGCTTGGTTGGATATTTCTGCATTATTTCTTAGATTACCTGACTGGTATTTCTGTACTATTTGTGCTATCATGTCTAGGAACGTTCAACCTGAACTTAGAACCAACTGCACTAAGTGCCATGCAATGATAATCCTTGAGAAAAATCTTACACTAGTAGCAGAGGAGAAATAGGTGGAGAACCACCCCACCCAGGATTACAACAGGATGATTGACAGTGACCCAAGTGAAAGAATTACTGCTTTCCTAGGGTGGAACATCCCTACAAAGTCTTATGCTCAGTCTTCCTCTTGAGCATTCCTAACAAAAGGGTCTTTCTTATTAACAACAGGAATCTTCTTTCACCTCAGCATCGATAAACAGAATAATCTATGCTAATGGGAAGGAAAAAAAAAGGCTGAAAAACATTCAGTGATAACATTTATGGTGCATCAGTTTAAACTTCCATTTCAACCCTTTTACTGTGCATATAATGCTAATTCTCACAGTGCTTGGAGACCTGAATTAATTTACACTGAAGAAAGAATGCAAATTATTCATTGTCACTATATTCCCTGCTTCGATGCTGAATCTTTTACAAATGCTTGAGTAAATAACACAAAAACCATTAGATAATACAGTATACATGTATCCAGCTTCTAACACAGAAGTGACCCAGCTGATCTCTTTTAAATTGTACTTCTGGTATTTAAACTTTGACTTTAAGATTTAAATTTTGCAGTCAGCTTCAGCATTAAAAATGACTGCAGCAATTAAGTACTTCCTTGTACCTGCTGTGAATTAAGATAGCCCATCTTTTCAAATTCCTGTTATATCATGAAAAAAAAAAAATCTAGTGTCCAGCCAGCATTAACCAGCATGAGCTACCTCAGTGTCTGACACCTGTTTTCAGAAGTTCTAAAGATGCTCCAGTGAAGGCAGTCCAGATTCATGTTGCATTACAGAGTTCCCCTACACAAATTCTAGGTTATGTACATCTTCGTCACGCTTACTTCTTCAAAGTGTCCCAAGAGCAAATCAGTTTTCATAATTGAGTCCTATTATTTGGGGCTTTTTTACCTGTTTTAGTTTGGATGGAAGAAGGCATCTATTATTTGGGTGAAATGAGAAAACTTAGATAATTCCTGGCTAAGAAAACAATAGAAGACCCTGAAGGCTAGATCTGATATTCCCACATCTTGGGTTGACGTAGAAATCTATCAGTTCCTTATTTCTGCCCAACTCCACCCATCTATCTCGCTCCATAAGTGCCTGCTGAGAGTGAAGATAGAGGAGGAACTTGCCTCCAGCAAGGCTCAAGTTCTACAACTGCTCCACATTTTTATGCTTCTCACCTATCACCTGCTTCATCAGTGCAGGTGGAGTCCCAAAGGCAGTCCTGTCTGAAGGAAGAGACTGGAGCACACCTGCTCTATTGGAACATAACTGCTAGGAAGGCTGCGGGATCTCTCACACAGGAAGTTTTAAGAGCGGTTAAATACTTGGTTGGCATGGCAAAGAGTATTGCTTTGATGATCAGCTAGTGAGATGGGTGTTCTGCTTTTGGAGATGAGCTTCACCATTACTGTTGCTGCCCCAGCCTGAGTAGCTGCTGCATTGATGGGAAGCTTAGTCCTCAGTTGTGCTGAAGCGGGAAGGGGAAAGAACTGGATCTAGTCCCTATTCTTCCACATCAGTCCTATGACATCTTGTCCTCAGTACTTGTCTTAGTTCCTTATGCAACTCTCTGTCCTCCATTCACAAGCCACCCTCAACACCAGTAGAAATGTTCTACTGTCCTAAACTCTAAGGAACCATATACCAAAAGATATTTTGAGGATCGGAAAGCTGAGATGTAGCAGCAAGTAATGAAATCATCTGCCATCTGTGTTTGTGTTGCCAGGAGACCCCAACATAACTGAGGAAGGAGGAGAACTTAGCCAGGAACTCCCTTTTACTGCAAAGACCTATTCCAGCCTTGGTTTCTTCAGTTCTGTCACATATGAACCAATTGTTCTTTCTTGGCTGTGCAATAAAAATAAGCTAGAAAACATTTAATTTAGCACCTAAATAACAAAAATTGAAGCCCGACTTATGAGAGAGGACTTGATTTTGGTTGGCATGCTGACTGAATGACAGTGAGTCATTGAGATAGCCCCTAAAGATCTGAGTCAAGGATGGTTCCTCAAGGTCTAAATGTAGGTGGTCTTAAAAGCATAAGAGCCATGCTGTCTTTACAATGCAAAAGCACACAAACAAAAAGAAATATGCTGAGAAGGAAAAATGAGGAATTTGTGCATAAACCAAATGTGTTGTAGAGCTGCATTGATCTCCAGTGCAGGATATGGAGAGATTTGCTCAGGGCGCTTCACAGGGCATTGTTAAATGTATCCGCACTGCTGTGAATCTCATAGTCTGTGTGTTCTCATTAACAGTAAAGGTTTGATCCATCCCTCACAGGCCATTCCTCTCATCATCCCACATAATCACATTCTCACAGTAGTAAAGCAGAAGTTTTCCATAGGAGGAATCCTGCTATCAGCAATACTAATCAAGCTGAAGGAAAAAAAAAAGCAAAAAAAAAAAAAAGAAAAAGGATTAAAACACTTCTTTTGAATCATATTTTTCCTTTACTGTTGCTGATAATGCAGAAACCCAAAGTGCTTTGTCCTGGCTTTTTCCTTGTTAGTGTGCTGTTATACCAGCCTCTGAGGTGGAATAGTTGTCCTTTGTAAAACTCCGGACTTGCTATTAAACAATGCGCTGGCAATGGCCAGCAGTGACCTGGCTGGATTCAATCAGAAGATGTTTTATTTGTGCAGTAGTGACTGAAGAAGAAGTACGGGAAGACCGGTATTTATTCTGGGAAGCATCTAAGTCTGTGCTGAGGTTTAAATCCAATAAAGAAGGATGGTGCTGCAAGGAAGATAGGCTGAAGATTAAAAATGACATGTCCTTCTGTGCAGGGTGCTGGATAAAGGCAGCTGTAAAAAAACCCAAACCCACAAACATTGGCATTACATCTTTTGTCACTAGTATGGTGGTAATGAAAGCAAATTGAGGTTTTGAGGGAGACTTTGCCTTCATGTTGCCACTAAATTTACCTCTTTCTATTTTCCCCTTAAAACATCTGATTTTTTTTCTCACAGTCCTGAGGCAGTGTCCCCTTTCTTTCTCATGATTAAAGCCAGATTTCCTATATCTCACATTTTTTTTTTCTCCCAAAAGTCTGAAACATTTTTTTCTTGAAATAACATATAGTCATTTTTTTAATCTTTCCCCCCCAACCATCTTGCAGTATTTAGGAGCGGAAGACCTACTTTCCCTTATCCTCCCCTGTTCTGAGCCCCTTTGAGCTGCCTCTTGATCTTCAGTCTGGCATGCAGTTGGTGAGACTGCTACTGCAGACCTCTTAGTAAGAATGGAAGAGTTTGATTAAATGATTTGTAGAAACCTCTTAGAAGAAATGTGGAGCATCCGTACAGAGCAGGTTTCATGGAGCAAAGTGATCTGACACCTATCAGAGCCTGGATACTGAGAATATATCAAGTGGGTAGGTGATCTGCACAATTAGTACTCGTTTGCACTTAAAAGTCATGTGGTATCTGATGTGATTAGAGGAGAGCAGACTCCAGATCTAAGGCACAGTCCTCCCATATGTACTTTTCTGTTGAGGAGCACAGGGAAAAAGAGCAAGTACCATGACTGAATTCACGAGTTCGTGTCAGTGCTCCATTCTCCCCTTCATCTCCTGGCTTTCCACCAAGCCTAGTTCAGTCTGTTCCATCTGCCACTTAGAATAGCAGAGCCTTAAATAGTGATTCAGGCACATAGCATTTTTTAAACTTCATCAAAAATACCGGTAATTGCAGAGCATGTGTTCAGTGGATGCACTGGCTGTTGGTTTGGAGACAGCACTCTGTCTCACCCTGTAATGGTCCACAGTAAAGTTCTCAAAGCAAGGCAGGAATGAAAACAATGGAGCTCTGTAAATAAGCACATATGCAATGAGGTGGTCTTCCTCGAATACGAAACATCTGAAGTGCCTGTACTGCCTGCAACCATGTGAAGTGTCTCATGTCACAAACGATAAAGGACAGAAACATATTTCCTATCGATTAACCTTAGGCCAATGTCTTTGCTTCCCACTGCCTTTACTCACCTCCCTCTTATCTCGTATCTGTATGACTTGTTCTATAGACTCTTTATATAGAGCTGACCTAGCGCAAAACCTACAGAGGAGAGCAAAGCCCT